TACACTTTCTGAAAATATGACAACAGCTTTCGCCCCATCTCGTCAGTAACTGACATGACGGGGGTACCCGGCGCGTCAAAATCGGACGTAGAGGGAACCTTGCCAAAGCGTCAATATGTGACGACTTGGGAGTGAGAATGGGTTGGATATGACCAACGAAGATGGGCAATTTTCTAGTTTTATCTCTGCAGTAAATAAATTCCAGTTTACCAGGGTTTCTACAGCTTAAGGCAATTAAATTTAAGACTTTAATGCAACTTTTAATGAAATTAAAGACCAACTTCACAGTAACAAATGTGAAAAAATGACAATTTTATTTGTTTTATTTTGCATATTTCAACAAGAAACAACAAGCTGTGAAAAGCATTCAGTAAATTATTTAAAAAAATGTTAACCATCCTTACAATGTGTTAACATTTTTCAAACCTCTGAAAGATTGATTTAAGACATTTTAAGAATTCAATGCCTTTTAAGACTTTAAGGATCCACAGGAACCCTGGTTTAAATTGATAAAATTCTTACAAACTTTCACTATGATTTTTAAAAAATCTCTTAATTTGTTTAAAAAAGATTTGGTTTGTCTTGAAATTTATACTTAAAATAACTAAAACGTTAAAGCAACAAAAATAAAATCCAGACACCATGTGAAAGACAACAAAAAGGTTTTATTTAGAAATAATTCACAGTTTCTAATGGCACTACAGTTTTTGTAGCATCTCTCTCCTGCTCAAAAATACTGTGCAGCTCTTCAGAGTACTCAGATAAAGTGGGAGGGAGACACAAATATAGCACTTGACAAAGTAGAAAACAAAAAACAAAACAAAAGGCATGAGAAGTCATACAAAGTGCAAAACGAGCATCTACTAAGTCCTTGCAAGTGTGTCCTCCCATTGGCTGAGTTATAGGTTTAAAAAGGTTCTAAGTAGTCTTTGTTCCGACACAAACACACAGAAGACAAACTAAATACCCTCCCAGGCATACAGGTGTACACACACACACACACACACACACACACACACACACACACA